GCGGGCCTGGGGCGGCGCGGACGTGTGCGCGTGCGTGAGTGCCCGCGCGTGCGAGTGCGCGCGCGCCCTCCAGCCCTCGGAACGCACCCGGGGAGACGAGTACAGTGTGTGACATACAGAGTACAGTGTGTGACATACAGCGCACAGTGTGTGACATACAGCGCCGCTCCCCCTGCCGAGTACCCTCTAGGCCTGTGCCTGCCGTGGACTGGGGCGGCCAACGCCGGAAGCCGCTTGGCGCAGCCCCGAGACTGAGCAGGAGGCGCCCCGCGCGCTGCGCCCTGCCGCGTCCCTCCCGTCGGGCGCGAGTGTGCCCGCGGGCGGGCGGCGCGGGCTGGGACGCTCGAAGCGCGCTTGTCTTTCCGCGCCGCGGGCCACGTGGGCTGGGGAAACAGTTTGCTGTTGGCAGAGGAAAAGAAATGATCTCATGTATTTCCCCTGGCTGCAAGTAGAACAATGTAAAAAACAAATCTTACAGGCTGAAACGAGCATGCATTCGTTTTGTCGTATGTATTTGTTTTACTGGTGGCAAAAAATACATCACCTACATTGGTAAATTGCATTTTAAAGGCCAACAAAGGTTTTATATGTAGAAAAATGAGTAAAGCAAACAATCCCAAACCTTTTCAAAGAAATCCACAGTACATTTGTTCTACTTACTGAGCTGGGTGGGGCCGGGATTGAAGTTAAGAGTAAAGGGTAATTTTGTTTCTGATCTGACCTGAATTCTGGGCGAATATACTGTATTTACAAGCTGGTAAATAAAGAAACCAAATTTTATCAAAGCGAGTGTGATAGCTCTAGGACCTTTGAGATCTACCAGGTAGTTAATTGCTCAGTAAAGTTACAACCAGACTCACCCTCTTTCCATCTGTTTCCCTTATCGAAAACAAGTTTTCGTTCTGTTTGAACAAATTAAAGAAACTGTCTGTCTCACTGATATGAGAACCTAATTTTTACGAAGTTGCAAGATACTTTTCTGTTGTATATTGTATAACCTTACTTGTTATTGAGTCTATCGCTCTTTACATTTCCCTCTTTCAGTTTTACTCTTAGAAACTAAAAATAATTACTGAGATCACTTTAGAATTCCTTATAACTGAAAGTTTCTTACACTTGTCAGTGTAAAATTTGCTAAATAAACTCTCCAGGGGGGTGCTCTGGAAGAGATGAAGGTTATAGGAATAACTGTGCCCCCATACTTGAGTAGCAATTTATTCTAGCCACAAAAGAAACATAGTTGTGCAGAAAGTTGGAAAACTATGACCCACCTCTTACAGACTATACGGTATTTAGTTGTATTTCAGAACATCTGAAAATTTATGTGTGTCTTCGTTACTTTTTTCTCGCTGCTGGGACAAAATACCTGATGCCCAAAATTAAGGAAGGAAAGGTTTATTTCGCTTACAGTTCGTGGAGGTTTCAGTCCGTACTTGGCAGATTATAAGGCAGAGTGGCACATGGCAGAGGGCTACAGCTCATGTCCGCAGAACACAGCTAAGCTGCAAGCACACACCAGGGCAGAATGGGGGAGGAATGGCCTCAAGCACCCTTTTCCTCTCCCTTACATATGCAAACTATCCACCCCAGGGTGGGTGTAGCCCTCATACCCATCAAACTCGAAAAGCCTGCCCCATGGCCGCTTGATGCTTTGGGGGGACACACAGATTCAAACCATAACAATGTGCTTCTTGAACACATGACCATTCACTTTACACTTCTGAGTGCAGTCTTGAAAGGCTCTCATTGCCCTAAGCTGCTGGCAGACTCTACAGAATATGATAAATGTAGGCCATAAAATACAGCTCAATATTTTAGTCGTAAAATTTGGAAGAAAAAATTATGGCCTGAATTTATCCATTATTTCAAATCCAAGAAGGGTACTTAAAACCACTAACAGTGTCTCTACAATAATTATATTCTGAAATCGAAGTGTGCTACTGGTTTCTGGAAGATTCCAGCACAGAGCTGAGCATCCAGTGCGGAGGAACCCAAGGCCTGTAAGTTAGACAGACACAACATTGTCTTGGGCAGAGCATGGAATACGTGGAGTAGTGATGCTTTCTTGGAAAGTTTGTTGTCCCTTCTGTGTTTTATTTTATTTACTTATATCATTATATTTATAATTTCATATATTTCACAATATATGTATATGATTTGAAAAATTACAAATCCTGAGGAATTTCAGTCCTCTAGTAATCTACTTGTAAGGCAGGAAGAAGTTAACGTAGATTCAAAATCTTAGGTTTGAGCAGAGCTGAGATAACCTTGTGAATTTTAACATTCTCTCTAGCTTGTGGATTTGACATGTTTATCCAATTTTTTCATTTTCAGAAAAGGAGAAGGCAACAAAAATAAAGTTCAGAGAGACAGCTGAGTATTATTTGTAGAAATAGATGATGCTGACTTGATAATGTTTAGGATCCTAAACAAATAATGTCCTTTGTTTGAAATTTTCTTTTAAATGTCTTTCCTATAAGTAGATATTTTATATTTTATTTGCATGAGAAATCACTTGAAATATGATCTTAACATTTGGGTGGATTTCCAGAATGAATAAACCAGTGTTGAGCATTTTTATGAGACAGTTACAGAAACCAGTCACCCTTTACCCCTTCATCCTCAGTCTCTTTACCTTACATCGCCACTTCACACTAGCGGCCACTTCACTAACATGCTCGCTTCTCAACTCGCCACCTTTATCTGTATTCTGAGGGATGAAGCAAGCTGCATTTAAGGTACTCTGTCCTTGTGAGGATTCTGTAAGGAGTTGAAGCTCTTCCTTCCCACAGTTTTCCTAAGGACCTAGTAGTACCTGTCAGCAGATGACCGACGTAACAAGCAGGCCATGAGCAGGACTGGGCAACTGTACCCACTCCGTGTTTCCTGCTGTCTTGCTGTGGTGTGTGCCTAACCCGCCATCTATTTTTGAATACTTAAGGAATAATAGATAGGCAAAAAGGAAAGTGGACAGTGGGCTTTTTGTAAGAAAAATGAATGCCAGAGCGAAAAACAAAACAGCTCATTATAAATATGACTTAACAAATACCTTTGAACACAGACTACTTTGATAATAGGAAGTGAGTTAGAAGGCCTGTGTCTTGGTTACTTTTCTCTCATTGCTGAAACAAAATACCCGACACCCAGAATCAAGGAAGGAAAGGTTTATTTAGCTCACAGTGTGTGGAGGTTTCAGTCCATACTCAGCTGGCTCCAAGGCAGAGTGGCACATGGCACATGGCAACCCTTCATGGCAGTGGAAGACAGTGAAAGCAGCAAGAGCAAAGGGAGGAGTGGAGGCAAGCAGCCTCTTTCCCTGACGTACGCAAAACTACCGCCCCGTGACTGCATGAGGCTTTGGGGGAACACCCAGACACAAGCCATAGCACCTTGTTTGCCACAGGCAGAGCTTGTTTAAAGAAGCAGACGCCTTTCTATCATTTCACACTTATTTAGCAATATTCTGATGGAGACATCTAACACACCCTAGACTATTCCAAGCTGTAAAGCAGCACACAAAATTATGATAAGTTTATTGCTTAAGATTTATTAACCTAGCATATAATGAACTAACTAGTATCACAAGTTTAGGAGAAAAAAATTAATTTCATAGGATGTTAGAAGGAGGAAAAAGTGTCCATATTTCAGCACCAGAAGTGAATTAAGATTTCCACATCTTCCACCAGATCATTCAGCTTTTCACTAACACAATGCCTTCAATAACTCAGAGATTGTGGACAAGCGGAGAGACCACAGGAAAATAAAACGTGGCCAGTAAGACGTGTCATTTTTCATGTTGTTTTGAAAAAGAAGAAAAAGAAAAATTGAATTTTATTGGATTCCTTTGCAAAAAAGAACTACTTGGTTTATCCATAACTTTTTATGGCCATCTATTATAATTTTAGTATGCTATGAGATAGGTTTCCCTAAATGTCATGAGACGTATCTGCTCATATTTATTTCTGACCTAAGCCTGGGTCAGAAATTCAACATTTATTTTAAAGCTATTCCTAGAGGAAGCCATGGTCTGCTTCACGCACTTTCTTTATACTATAATTTCTAGAAGTTTTTGAGTGAAAACAAAGAGACTACTAATATTTTATTTAGAAGTAAAGTCGATAAAATTTTCAAATAAAAATAAGAATCAAATTATCTCAACACTAACTTCATCCCAAATTAAAATTGTGAAATAGAAACAAATGTCTTGGATCACACTACTCTTTTTCTGTTCTTTCCTGCGGTTCAGCTTTCCGACTTCTGGCATCAGCAGTTTAATAATCTCCTGGTTTCCTGAATCCTGTGACTATGCCCTGCGCTTCCAGCCTCCCAATCCTACCCACATGCACACACGTTGGCCTTTTCCTTCTTGGAAGCTGGGTTGGGTGGTTTAAAAAAAATCTTTCCCCAATCTCCCATTACTGTCATTTCCTTTCCATCAAATAACTACTTAAATGGAAGACAGAAAATTGGAC